AATTTTTTTATTAAAAAAATTTCCTCACATTGACATTCACGGCATCTTTGAAGAAAATGTTTTCATACACGTTTATGATGTACTCCATCATTTCCGACTTTGGTACGTTCGCGCGGATTTGACCTCCCATACAAAATGCCCATAAAAAATTTCTCCGTGCGTGATAATTTCTCCGACCGTGATAATCGATCGTAGCGCCGCCACGAAAACTTGAGTTTTCGTCACTCCCTGATAAAAAAATCACTCCCTGATATTGCGATGGCAGCGCCGCCAATGGTTGCATAATTCTCCAATTACACTCTCCACCTGAAACTAACTTTCTGGGAGTGCAGTTTTAGGTGGAGAGTATATACGCGCTTGTTCAAGCTAATATTTGCTATAATTATAATTTTTTTTTAAAGTTAGCTTCGTCAGATAATTTAATTAATAATTCTAACTAGATTTAAAACAGCAAATTATTTCTCGTCATGAATCCAAATGAAATCACTTTGATTTCTCAACATGACAACGCAGAAAAAATTGAGGAATTTCTCAAAAGTTTTCTTGATAAGGTAACTAACAGATAGATATTTAAGCAATATTTTTGATACCATTGAAATTTTCAACAATTTATTTTCTTTAGTTTATTGATAAATTTAATCTCCTGGAGCTAACGTCATCAGGTCAATGGACATTTTTATGGAATCAACTATTTAACTTATTGAAAAACACAGAGACAAAATTGTTGTGTCTTCAAGCTATTCGTATCTTAAGCCGAGACAAAATGTATCTTAATGAAACAGTAAAGGAAGAAGAATTCGATTTGTTACTTGAACTAGCATCAATTGGTGTAGGAGATCAGGATTTCCCACCAGAAGTTCAAGTTGAAGCTTTGAAGATTCTTTGTAATCTTGTTTATCAAAGTTGTAAATGTCAGGAATTTTGTTTAAAAAATTCGGCAGTTGAAGGAATTCTTAAACGTTTACGAATGTTAAAAGAATATCATATAAACGATGACATTAGACTATTCGACATGAGACTTTTGTTTCTTATCACCGCCCTGACACCTAATGTTCGCTCAAAAGTTCGCGACGATTACCATGGCTTGATTTATCTTGTGGAAACACTAGATTTCATGATGAAGAAAAATTCTATTGAAGTTTTTGAGAATCATGAAATCAACATAATTAACGAAATATTGAAAGTTCTATATAATATTACCGAAACGAATCTATCAACAGTTGAAACAGAAGAGGATGACGCTCATCAGCTTCAACGTTTAACAATAATGCTGAACGATCTTCTTCGTTACAAAGCTCATTCTACTGAGTTAACTGAAGATTTGTATTCGTATATTATTAATCTACTCACTAGTATACCAGTATCTTGTTATGTGGAGCTTTTTCCTTCTGAGAATCTCAATATTTCCAAGAGAAGTGATAGTCAGTTCTATGAAAGTCATGATATACATTGCGTAAATATTTTTATTCACTTTCTGGATAAACGACTGAAAAATTTTAATGAAGGAAAACAAGAAGAAAATCTTAAAATGGAAAACATTTCGAAAGAGTATGAAAACATTCCACCAATATTGATCGTTATGATAAAAAGTGTGCAGTGTTCAAGTGCAATCAGGCATTATGTAAAAAGCAAAATATTGCCTCCTCTGCAAGACGTAAAAAATCGACCTGAACATGGAACAGAAATGAGAAATATTTTATGTCAGCTTTTAACTTACCCTTCTGCACAGATTTCGGACCTTGTTGCAGAATTTCTTTTTATTTTGTGTAAGGAAAATGTCGATAGAATGATAAAATATACAGGCTATGGCAATGCAGCGGGGATTTTTGCAAAACGTGGACTTCTCGCTGGTCAAAACACTGGGAATCATCAGCAATATTCTAGTGACAGTGAAGAAAGTGACACAGAAGAATACATAAAGTATAAGCATTCAATAAATCCTATAATTGGATGTTATGAAACCCCCCAAAAGAATCCTTTGGAAGGTCTATCAGAAGAACAAAAAGAATATGAAGCAGAACAACTTGTGAATCTCATTGATAAGCTACATAGAAAAGGAATAGTGAAACCATGCAAAATTGCCGATGGTAAACCAGTACCAATTGAACATGTGTTGGAACTTCAACAATTACCGAAAGAACATCAAGAGCATAATGAAAATTTGTAATCCATTTAATGAATAGATGTTTGCATTCATTCTTGAAAAATACATGTCTGGTTGTTTATGAAATTAAGAGATAATTAGATATCTAATAATATTTTTAACTTCTAAATGTCATCAAAACATCAATATTTGTTAATAACTTTAAATAGTTTGATTAAAATTTAAAAATTCATAAAGAATTCTACTGCTTAAATACAATACAAGATTTATCATTTTATTCTAAACTATGCATCTTTGATCATTTATGTATTAGATAGATGATATTTAAATGTAAAAAAATTGAGTGCTTCATGTTAGTACTATCTGTATATGAAAAAAAAGAATAAACATAATTCTTTTAAAACAATATAATTTTTTTTTTATTAATAACCAAAAAATCATTGCTGATCCTTTTTATAAAGATATGTGTCGAGTGCATGTTGGGCAGATTCCAAACATGTAAATAATTCCACCAATTTTTTTGCATCAAGTTTTTTGAAGGAAATTTCATAATTATTGGTTTTCATAATGATTTTTGTTACATGTTCCTTCGATTTAGTACCTAAACTAATCATTTGATTATGCTTAATTTTCCAAAAGTGCAACGTTGATGGTTCAGTCAATTGTTTCGATGGAGATGGCAAATTGGACATTATATGTGCATTTGCTAGTAAATAAAATTTTGATAACAAACGACATTTGTCATCCGGGAGCTTCATGTCTTTGTTCAAGATGTCGTATATCATAGATGGATAGATTAGGTAAGAACGAAAGTAAGAAAAGAAATAATGAAATGTCCTAATTATGATGGTAAGTTCATTCTCAGTTATTCCCTTCATGAGGGGAAGATTTTTTTTCGAAATTTCTTTAATCGTTGAAGGAGATGATGATGTTGAAAGACTGTCATTAAAAATAATTGGTAATAACTGATTTAGAATTTCAAGCGGGACTCTTTCACTGATTAGTCTAATTCCCTCTTTAATTTTATCATCTTTCGTAGTAAATAATTTATGTTGAGTCGTCATCATCAGAAACGGGCAGAATGACACAAGCACCCTGAGCCAATGAGGCCAAATGAGCCTTATACGTTAAATCAAATCTGAGGGCAGATTTTTTAAATTTCAGCTAAAATGTAAATAACAATACTGATATAAATTTTTTATATTTATTAGGTAGGTACCTAGTAATTTATTTTAAAATATAACAATTTTTATATGCAAACTTCACCTTTTATATGTGCTTTTATATGTACTTATTAGTCAGGCTTTTAAAATTTATAGTTAATCTTTTTATATATTTTTTTCTTTGAAGGAATTTCAATTTCGTTTTTTGATCATTGATGTTCGAAATTTGCAAAACAAGTTGGAGCCAGAGTACAGATGTTTGATGTTCGAAATTAAGCAAGGTTTTAAAACGTAATCACTGTCAACTTCACACAGCTCAAATGTGGTACTTTGATACCCTGTATTTGTATTTTGTGGGCCAGCTCGAGAGAGATTTTTTTTATATGAAGAAGTTAAAGTGACTTCTAGTCACAAAATAAAAGTTTTAGTATCAAATCCTAGAAAAATAATGAGTTTAGGCGTCATTCCAAACTCAGATGAGCTGAAGGAAAGCTCTAAAAATGTAAGATTGATAAAATAGACAGACGAAAATTGTCTTTGGTGTTGGTGAATACATTATTTGAGAGAAATATGAACTGAAATTTATTAGAACCCACCTACTCATCTCCATTAACAAATGCAAACAGAGTTACTAGAAAGATCAAAACATGTATTATTTCCTACAAATATTGAGTATTCCAGGAAAAGTTCACATTATGTAGAATTTAGAAAGGAATTTAGGGAAATTTAAGAAAAACTTTTACACTTTTTCGTAAAGTCACTGAATTTGAAATTTATGATAATTCTTGTTGAATTATCTTTGGAATATTAAAAAACTAATTTCAAGCTTAAATAATAATCTAAAATTTTGCTTTTTAATGTGATAAAATGCTGCAAAATTGTAACATGTGTGCGTTTTTTACAAATAGAGGATTCTTAGATAGAATGACGTCATGTTATAATAAACAGGTTTTCTTTTTAAAATTATATATGTCTATATTTTTAAGGCAAAACAGAGAGCATCCATTTGTTGGCTTTTATCAAAAGCTTTCAACAACCAGATTCCAGAACAGCTCTCTGAACCATTTTATACGGACCATGATGGAAATCTTCACTTAAAGCCGCAAATTGTTGTTGGATTAGGAAATGCATCGCTTTATTGTCAAGTCTTGGCAAATATCTACTGCGACCCAAACTATCAAAACCTTAACCACTGGTCTATTTTACAAACTCTTTGTCGTAAAGGCATATCTGTATTTGAGGAACACTCCGGAGTTGCACCACTAACAGAAACACTTTTAATACAACAAAATCCGCTAAGAATTGTAAGTTTCATATATATATAGTGCCTATAATATTAACGAATGAAAGTAACAATTTTCCTATTTTAGAACGCACATATGATTGTAATTGAATCACTTATGATACTTTATGCGAAAGAGATTACATCTGGCGACCGCATTCAATCGGTTGTCACAAGACTTTCCTTAGGAGCCACACCAGATAATTTGAGCAGCGACCAGCTTTTGCTTCATTGGCTTTCACATGCTATGGCTGCTCTTAAGCATCGATTACAAAAAAAATTGGAGCTTGAAGAGCTCTATGATAACAAAAACAGGATAAAGATTCCTGATATTCCGACACCAGTTCATGATTTTGCAAGCTTATGTGATGGTGTATGTTTGGCATATTTGATAGCATTTTATTGTCCTAAAATTTTACCGTGGCATCAAGTTCGAATAAGTTATCTTCCAACTATCGAAGACAGTCTTCACAATTTATCACTGGTGGAAAAATTTTCACAACATCACTTACCATATTCCATTTTTCATTTGTTATCGGAAGATGTAATCTCGTTGAGAGAGTAAGAAATTATTCCTATTTCGTTAAATTACTTTCGCTATTTATTTCAATTTTACTGCAGACATTTGAAAACGAATCTTGTTCTTTTGTTGGCTGATATGTTTACATTGTTTGAGATTCATCCAGCAGAATGTGTCGACTACCCTGAGCTAGAAACATCTCCTGGTAAGAATTCATTTGAAATTTTATTATTTAGGTCAGCTTGGATATCATTCGGATGTTTAAGTATTTGTACAATTTACATAATTTGCAAAATATTCCAAAGGGAACTTTAACATATTTATATCTTCTTCTTTTCGTTCAACGAAGAAATCAACTTGAGCATTCGTTTAGCTTTTAAATAATTTTTTAAGAAATCATTGTGACCAACGCTATCATCATAATTATTAAAAGCATATTTTTTAAACATGCAAAGCTACTTTTGAATATAGAAAAAATGTACTGTTGAAATTGAATCATTTTTAATTTTAACACTGCCGTTCAGCTTTAGATTCTAATGTAGATTCTGCTATTAAATTTGGGCTTTTGCATGGTCCTTTATATAGAAATCTAATTAAATGTCACGATTAGTGAAACAATTTATATTTTAACTGATTTCTATTGTGATTGATTCACTTAAAAAATAGGCAACCAATCTGAAAATTTTAAAGCCAATATTCATGGGATCAGTTATCGCAGAGGTTTAACGTTTCAATCAGTTCAGCCTATACCCGATTTAAGATGTGGATCAAATTTAGTTTCTCCTGTTGCTGAACAATCCTGCAGTCTATCTTTTCAAGGTCAATATGAGATTTCATAAAGAAAAAATGATTGCTATTTTTTAATTTTTTGATTTTCGTAGTAATCACTTTAAAATTAGATTTTAAACAAGTTCAGTGCCTGTTTCATTAAATCTTTTTTTATTTGTTTTCTGTGGTTTTTTAAACATATTTTTATTGAGTAGCGTTAATATTTAAGGGTTTGTTTCAAAGCAAAGATTAGGTACATGTCATATCGGAATTGATCGAAAGTTAATAATTGCTGCTTAAGCTTTTCCTTACAAGTTTTTAATCTTGTTAAATTGCTAATGTTTTATTAGTAATTGCTTTAATTTTAGTGATTCAGCATTAAATTTTCTCTTTAGCGATATTTTAAAATTTTACAATTTATGGAAATATTTTTAATAAATTATTTCTACATATATTTAAATCATGGAATGAACATAAATAGAAAACTGTACGAGTGGAGTGCATTTTCGTTTTTCCACAAATATCTTATATTTGCAATTCAATATCTATCATTTTAATGTCATATTTTTCAGTAGTTTAATAAACATATTCGTAATGCATCTATATGTAGTTTAGAATTTAGATGATTTTTTTAAATGTTATTAGTAATAAGTACTTTATATTCCTGAAAACGTTTTTTTTTGCATTGCTTATAAAATGATTAGTATTTGGTTTTTATGTATGGAAATACTTGAAATGTTTAGTATTATTATAAATAACCGTAATCTTTAATATGTTATTGCTTCTTCTAATATTAGGAAAACGGTCTGGATCAGCAACAAATGTAGTTACGCAACATACATCTTATGCAAAAAACACAAGTTTGTCACCAGAAAATGAATTTACAGTTCATAAATCAAAAGGAATCACAACTTTATTTCAAACGAAGGAATCATCGCCAGGAAGTTCACGTCATTATAAAGATAAAGGAAAAAACGATATAAAGAATGATGAAAAAGGTGAGAACTGATCTTAAATTTTTAAAAGAAAACGGAAATGCATAAGTTGTGTAGTAACAATCTTCAGAAGCCTTTATAAAATTTCTAAAATAGTTTTTAACATTTTTATAGCAGATAAACCGGCAGGTCGCCCTAGTAATTGGGAGGATCAACGAAGACCAAGTTTTGCTGGTAAATATTGAGCAATAAAAGCTTTTTGTTTTATATTCAATTCTATTTTCTTTTTCTTTTTTCTAAGGTCGTCGCTCTCGAAAAAATTCATTTAGTGAAGACTCTCAGCTCACAATAGAAAACTTTGGAGGATCACAAGAACAACTGAATACAATAGGGATGTCATTTGACCAACGTTCACTTGATCGAGAGAAGAAACCTCATGAAACATCTTTCGCGTCTATCGAGATGACTCTTCCTGCCAGAAGTTCTATAGCAGATGCAAGAGGAAGTCTTCAAATTGGATATGGTGATGACGATGATTTTTTGATTAAAGATAGAGAAAAACCAGTTCTGAAAAGCCAACATAGCAACGCATCCTCAAGCAATAGCAACATAAACATGCAAGAAGAGAAAAAAAAGATGCCTCCATTATCTTCAATTACACCCACGACAACAACTTGGCGACAGCAAAGCTTAAATCTTAATCAATTAAATGAAATATGTGAGTTTCTTTTATAATTATTTCGAAGTGTTTATATTAAAATTAAATTAAATGTAATTAAAAGGTGACATAAATCAACCTTATATTGATGAGTCAAAACTAAGTTCAGTTCGACTAAAACTTGAAGAAAAAAGGAGACATATAGAGAAAGAAAAAAGAAAAATTGAAGCTCAGATGTCTAAGCAGCTTCAAAAAGTTGGAAAAGCAGCTTTCTTACAAGCAATTAATATCAAAGTAAGTTTTCACTTTTAAGGTTTTCATTTGTTTTCAATTTACAAAAATTATAGAAACTGATCTTATTCAGAACTTCTTATAATGCTGAAGATTATTTAAATGAAAGTGAATTTAAAATATTTTTGAATTGAGATCGATTGAAATATCTTTTTGGAAATATTAAACTAGTTTATTAAAAGTATAAATTTTAACTACCTTTTCATAACAGGATAAACCCGACCCATCTCAGATGAGAGATAACGATTCACATGCAAACGAGAAGCATATACAATCTCAGGTGAGCGTGAAAAATTAGTGTTTAGTTTTTTTTATCTAAGCCAAATATTTAAAATTCAATTTTTATTAAAGGATGTTTTGGATTCAGAAAGTTTGGGTTCGAAAACTCTTGAGCGTGAACAAAATAACAATCTTTCATTGGAACAATATCATCAGAGTATTGCAATGATGAATTCTGATCTTCACGATATCCAAGAAGACATACAGAAACTTGCTGAACAGCAAAATCAAATTCAAGTGCAAACAATGCAAGCCCAGCAACTTCTTCAAGCTCAGCAAATTGCGAGTATACTCAACAATCAATATAGCAGTCAACAAAACATTGCAGGATTGTATCATCCAGTTCAACAACCTGATTCTAATCCTCAACTCTCTTTAAAATCCCAAGCACCTCAATACGTCAATGAACAAATTCATGATATTCAGAAGTTGGTAAGTTTAGATGTTGTTGATAACTCTAAGAATTATAAAGTGTTACATGTTTTCGCAAATTTCTAAAAGAAACATTATTAAATTTTATTGCTTTTAATTATTTTTACGTAGATGCCAAGTCAAGGAAGTCCTCGTATTATTGAAGATCAATACACATCTACACCATCTAAATATTTGAATCAAGAACAACAATTGAATATAGTCAAATATGTGCAAGACACAAATCATTGTCGTGATCAATATGAAACTCAACGGAATCAATTCTTTTTGCATGGGGATTCCTCAGCGTCATCTCCACAAACTTCATCTCGTCGTACATGGTTGCAAAAGGGACAACAGACTATGTCAAAACCTGAAATGTCTTCATGGTCACAGCAAAGTGCACATAAACAAGCTGAGAGTTTATCGTGGAATTTAATGCCTAGTCAAAAAAGTAAATCCAATTTAGGTGGTTTTATTTTACATGAAAATGGAAAAAAGCAAAACGAAGATGATGCTCATGCCCTTTTCCCTGTCATGCACGCTTCTCAAAGAGAACCGAGCAGTAAAATCAACCAAGTCGATGATACAATGACTCCTCAAAGTATTTCGTTCATTGGCGATGAAGATGGAAATGATGACATAGCGATGAATTTTAATGATAATAAAAGAGATAACAGAAGTTCTCTTCAACAAAGACATCAAAATGACATAAATAACGTTGAAATTTCCTTAGGGAAATTTAACATTACAAGTGGATCAAAAACATACCGAATTCCTTCTCCAACAATTAAAAACCATCCCGGAATATCTCCGAATAGTTTCCATTCTGTCGAATCTCAAAACGGCAGTGAAAAGCAAAAAGGTTTTTATATAAGTTTTGACAACGAAACTCAGCCGAAACGTCCTAAACCACCATTAAGAACAAAACGTTCCCCTAAAAAATCATTCGACAACCTAAACAACTTTGCTTGTGATGATGAAGATGATCATGAAATATCAGTAAGGAAGTTCCAAGCTTTTGATAAACACAAAGAAAATGATCATTTGATGAGAACATTTGATGATTCCAATGACTACAAAATAATAAAAAATCCGACAAAATCAAATGATAATAAAGTTTTACTTGTAGAAGCCAATGAAAAAAATTTTGATCCTGTAAGTATAATAAATTTACTTATTTATGAACAACTGAAAACTTCATAAAACTTTTAGTAAAATGTTGACAGAAGTCATAATTTTTATTCGGAAACAAATAGAAAAGATTTTTTATTTGATTTGTTTAATTTTGAAGGAACAAATGGATGAAATGCAACGAAAAAAAGAGAAAATCATGCTTCTTTCTTTGCAACGTCGGCAACAACAAGAGGAGGTGAAGGTTCGTAAAGAAATTGCAGCAGTGCAACGGAAAGAAAAAGATCAAATGAAAGAAGAAGAAAAAGCAAGAAAGAAAGAAGAACAATTGGCACGGCGCACACAAATCCTTGAGCAACATCGTCTGAAAAAAGCTATAGAAGAAGCAGAACGAGAGGGAAAAGTGTTAGATAGAGCCACTGCAGAATTAATTACAAAGCAACAGCAAATGTTTTCAACTCAGCCAAAAATGCGAAGACTTGGCACACAGAGACCACGTCCAAAAACCATACATGTTGAGACCAACTCTTCTTTTGACATGAACCAACTTGAAAAAAAAGCTTCCAACTCAAATTTGACTGGTGAGTTATGCTTCATATTGAAGTTGGTTTTCTATCAAATAAGTAACCTTTAACGTTTCATTTGATATAAAGAAATTTTTTGAACATTTTCATCTGTAATTAGATGTTAAAGTAAATATTGCAAGTTATAAGAAATTGAAAAAAAGAAATTTGGAGTAATCGAACTTTTCAATATATCGAATGACGGTTGTGTGACTTTTTCTCTTAATTAAATCATATCTCTGATATAATCAAAAGGTTCTAAAACGAATCTGCTTTTTATTTTTAAGTTGCTTTGCTCAATTTCCTTTTACATGATAAACATAATGATGAAAGGAGAGCTTACATTTACACAACACAATTTAATTTGTTTCAAAGGTATCCCTTCAAACACTATGCGACGTGATTATTATCGTGGGAGCCAGGATTCACTTTCAACAAAAGGTATTTATTGTAAAAATAAAACTCACAAGATGCTCTCTTGCTCATAATATAACGAAGCTGTTTTTTTACTTATTTGTTGCATTTCTTACTTATTCCAACATTCTTACTTAAAATTATACATTTTATAACTAACATGGTTCTTTCGGATACTGGTTCTTGTATTATATTAGAATCACCAGATGATTATCCTAGCACAAGCTCAACACCTCTGGGTCATAGGAGTTCAAATAAATATGTTAAAGGTAATAAATATTTTAACCTAAGTAAATATTTATATTATTTATACATAAATAAACCTCCATTTATACGTGCTTTTGTGTTTGGAAAATACCTATTTCCAAAATTAACTACATTTGCTGTACGTATTTTGATTTAGAAGAGGATGAAAACAACAGATAAAAGCAATATGTACATATTAATTAAAATTCCACCTTATTTTCATGATGGAAGATATACTTTTAACTATCTACGTTTCTTGCTTTTAATTGTGTTTTTATTGTCATATATTTTCATCCTCTGGCATTTGTTTATGTATAAAACTCATTTTTATCTTATCAATTAACTCAATAATAATAATAACTGGCTTCTCATTTTTAATTTGAGATGCTTGAAATTACGGATTATTTCACACATTGTTCAATAAGTGGAAAAATTCTGACAAGAAGATAATTTAAAGATATTCTTACTAGATACAGTACAAGATATCTTTGCATATCGTTAGATTTTTAAAGGTAAAACAAAAGTTCAAAAATATAAAAATCTTCTACCTAAGTAGATAATCATTAAATAATTAAGAGTCTTACTTTTCAAACTGCCCAGCTGGCGTAATCGTTTGATTAAAATTTCTTCTCTTTTCAATGAAGATTTAAAAAAGCAACGAATTCCATTCTTCATATTTGAAACAAATATTAAACTTAAATTGCACACATTTTTATGTACATTGTATAAAATATAAATCATAAATGGAACGAAAATAATAAGTTAATGTTGAGGCTAACATAAAATTCTATCCCACTTTCTGAAAAACTCTCTAAAATGTTATCTTCTTTATGTTAATGGTAAAGGGTTAAATTAAAAAAGACTGCTTATGATGATGAGGATGAAATAGAACGAAAACCTGGTGTAGGGATTGTATTATTTTTCATTAAAATTACCTTCCATAATTTATAGAATCATTGCACATTTACGTGTCATGTTTCGTAAAAATGGATAAATGCTATCATACTGAATAATTTTCTAACTCAGCCACAAAATGTCTAGTATATTCTTGAGAATTCAATTTTTACTGTTTTCTTTTTCTATAAAAATAAAAATAATCGGATCAGAACCTCAAGGAAATGAGCGAGGTCGAACTTTAAATCGTCTTTCGTCAGTTGCGAAATATGGAGGCGCCGGTGCCAATTTTCGTGGTCGAAAATCCAACTCACTTATGAATCTATGTGGTGGTAAGAAATTTAAAAATTCAATTAAAGAAAAAAGGCTTTTTAAAGCTAATGATAAAAATAAAGTCCAACCACTTAAGTTTGAATATTGAAAGTTGGGAAAGAAAAGAAAGAACTTCAACTTTGTAAAACATTTTCACAACTATCGTTCGTTATAATTGAATCATATTTTATATATTTAGTTGCTTTTATTTTTTTAATTATATGTATAAAGATACATATATGCTTATGTGTTTATTTTACTAACTTAACATTCTAATATGAACTGAATCTATGTACGTGTATAGACTCAGATTCAGGTTTGGGTCGGGCGACTCCTCCACGACGTGCACCTTCTCCAGGGATGGGATCAAGAACTTCATCTGGTAAGCACTTACCCTCTCCAAGTGGCCCTGGGAGTCTACCTCATCCTAATTTGATGATAAAACGTCGAGGAGTTGGATATGATGATGGTGCCAGTGACATAAGTTCTACACATAGTTCCATTTTTGGCGATTATAGTGGTAAGGCTTTTGATTTCTCTGACATTTTGTTACCTTTTAAGAATATTTAACATTAACAAAATTAAAAAAAAAATCTTATTTAAATGCAGAAGCATATTAAACAATACAGAAGAGTTAAACATTTTTCATATTATTCAATAGGTCCTCGACTTTACAAACAACCGGCAGCAAAATCTAATCGCGGAATACTTTTAAATGCTGTAGAGTATTGCGTTTTTCCTGGTGTTGTTAACCGAGAGGCAAAACAGAAGGTTTTGGAAAAGATAGCTCGAAGTGAAGCGAAACATTTTCTTATTCTCTTCAGAGATGCTGGCTGTCAATTCAGAGCACTTTACAGTTTCGATCCAGAAACAGAAGCGATAATAAAATTGTATGGTACTGGACCTTCTCATGTCTATGACGTCATGTTTGATAAGTTTTTCAAGTAAGTTAATTTAAAACTGCTTTATATTTACAGGCAATTTGAACCTAAACTTTTTAATTACCTTCATGTAGTCAGATATCAATTTAATTTGATTGTTATTGATCATTTTTGTTTATTTCAGATATAATTCTGGAGGGAAATGCTTTGCCCAGGTGCATACAAAGCATTTAACAGTAACTTGTGATGCTTTTTCAATACATAATTCGCTCTGGCAAGGCAAGAAAACAAGTCATCTGCCCAACAAGAAAGACATGGCGCTTGTTATTTAATAAAATATATTTATAATTAATAAGTATAACAGAGTTTAATAATTTGCTTTCATGGAAAAAGGGAAAACCTGGAATAAACTAACTCAATCATTGAACATTCGTACACTAAGTTTTCACCAATTATAATTAAATATCTAATTAAATTTAAAAAATATATCTAAAACCGTTTCATCTCATTCAGTAACAAAAAGAACCGAATAAATATGTTTATTATCAACAGGAAACTCACAAATGTTGAATTAATTGATCACAATAAACTTATCAATCTTCTTTTTTCTATCAGCATCATCAATAAGTTGCAATGAAAATAAAAGAAATAAATTGAAGATTCCAATAATGATGAAATCAGAAAATTTGGTTTTAATAAACTTACATATTTTTTGTTATTTTTCTGTTTGTTTCATACTTGAGTACAAACATGTTATGATGTTGATAGTAACTAAATATTTAGCAGCAAAGTTAATATTTTTGCATACTATGCTAATCGTCTGTCATGCTTTTATTCATTCAAAACAGAACTAAAACTTTATAGAAGAGAATATTTTTCAAGATAAAGACATTTGAAAACTCTATCGCAAATTATCTAATATATTTCGAAATTTTCTTTGTTTAGATTTACGTTTTTACATCACGCATAAGTTTATCTCTTTTAAGTCATCTCTCAAATTTTATTCTATTATTTAATGATTTTAATCAACATTTTAATAAACAAATCCACAAATTTCTATTGCAAAATGTAATCTTAATTACATTTTTAAGGGGCACACGTGATTAATAATTAAAAAGTCGTTCAGAAATTTATCAAAATACTTACTTTTTTTAATTAATTAATTTTGATTTAAACTCGAAAGTTTCTAATATTTTTCAAATCGAATATTTGATATAACAAGTACTAAATTCAGTATAACAAAAAGACAAATGCAAAAGCCAATAAAACAAGAAAAAATATAAATAAAAGAGAACACCTATTTTAATTTATTATCCTCAGCAAAAATATTTCCATCGTCACTTGATTAGGTATTGGCAACTTACATTACAACATTACAAACCTTCGTTTGTATCTACAGTAAGCTGATTATATTTTTCTTATTGATTTTTTTTAATGGAAATGAAACACAAATCAATGTTTTATGCATCTTAATTTCAAAACTTTATTTTATTATTTTAAAACTACAAAATATTATATACATAGATACAGTTTAATGATCGTTAAAATCTCAAAGTTTTGATTTCATTTTAAGCACAAAACTCACGAAAATTCTGATTAATTTTCGTTTTTTTCTTGTCGAAATATTTCACTTCCTTACATATTTTCCCCCAATGTGTTTCTTTTCGAAGTGTTAATGAAAATGGAATAAACGATTAGTTCATAAATATTTAACGCATATTACGTAAATCTTTCCTGATTTACAACACAAATTCTGTAGTTGTTCAAACTTAAAATATCTAAAATGCATATAAAGATATTTCATGCAAACGGAGAAACACAAAGTGGTTTAATAGAAAGAATATTGGGAGTCAGAATTTTTTCTAAAAGTTTGAAAAACAAATTGCAAAATGGACAGGAGTGACTAGTCAGCACAACCCAATTTCCCTTGAAATTGAAAAGTGTTGTCATTGTCATAAATGTCCATTGCTTCCCGATTGCTCTAAACAGTCGGGTGAGGGGCTTTTTAGTCCCTGTCTTAGACCTGGTGATGATAATTAAAAAACAAAAATAAAAAAAGTGTCACTTCATTTTTTTGAAATATTGACCGATGACTGCCTTGTGCTTCTTCAGATATATTTTTATGCAAGTAGGTATTTAAAATTATGAAATCACATCTTAATGTTAGGCGCATCAGGCAACATCATTTACCACCTTGGTCGTCTCAAGTGATCAAAATAATTGAATGTTAAATCATCTGCTTGCTGATTCTGTTGTGATGGTGTGTGCATACTTGTGTGATGAGGTGAGAAAAGATGATGAGGATTATAAATGGGATTAAGGTTTTGACTTGTAACAGTAGAATCATTTGATGAAGTTGTACTAGTTGTTGAAACTGCTGTTAAAGGTGTTAGATGATGTTGATAATAATGTTGATGGCCCGTTGTGGATTGAGCTTGATGTAGGTGAGAAGCTGGCAATTGTTGGACATTTGACGTTAAACGCACCTTTTTAGAAAAGGCTGCGTTTTGTTGCTGTTGAAGTTGATGCTGCTGTTGTTGATGATAGTTTGCAGCTGTTAAGAAATTGATGGAAAGTCAAAAAATAATTATCAAATATTTTTTAAAATCTAATTACCCTGCTGCTGATTGATGATTACACTTGGAGTGTTAGTTGTGATAGGACTATTGACTATATTTTCAGTAACATTTAAACTTGTTCCACTGGAAGTATCATCGACAGCTACCAAACGGGCATTCTCAACTTTATTCAGATTATTTTTTCTTTTCCTATCTTTATGAAACGTTGACACAGAAGAATTCGACTCTAATTGAGGTGTTTCATTATTATCAGCTGTCTTCTTTGAAGAACAGCTAGAATTCCTGGATTGTTGGCTTGATTGCCACACTGTCGATTTTCTTCCTCCTCTTGCTGAATGCATTGGAGGTGGTGAAGTTGCATCACGTTCACCTTGAAGAAACTTCAAGTAACTCGCCATGAATCCTTTGTTCATTTCAGACGGAATATTATATTTTCTCTCATTCATTTGTTGGCTTGATGAATTAGAATTAGTCGTCATATTGAGATTTTGCTGAACTATCGCGCTTTGTTGTTGTAAGTCGTTGATTTTCGATTGATTTCGGGTATTGCTTTGACTGCTAATATTATTGTTTTCTAAAAATGTACGCAAAAGATTTGAATGCTTAGTTAAAACTTTATATTTTAATCAAGTGTGCAATAATCCTTACTGTTTTGAACATAATCCGTAGTTCCTTTGTTATTATTGAAATTAATAACGTTAAGATTATTATTCTTCATTGCCATAGAATTATTAGTTGTTGTAGCGTTAGGTGTCGTGCTAATGTTAGTTGTAGACTCTGACAGTACTGACAGAGATGATTGTAACTGGTGATAGAACTTTTGTCCATTGTTCAAGTTGAGATGAGATGATGGTATTTGGGGAGATGGCGAAGTATTTCCACGACTGAAAGAGAATTTAAAAATCATTTAAAATACTTTTCAAGATTTAAATCTACAAAAAAAAGTATGTGTTGAAATAACAATTGAAAGATTTTGTTAGGAATTATTGAAAATTTTGATTTCGAATTGAGTCTAAAAAAGAATAGAAAGGTTTTCGAATAGTTTTACTATTAGATCTAGGTAGTTGAAAGAGTTTAGAAAAGAGTTGTAATTATGAGAAAGTAAAATTTTATATGGATTATTTAGAATCAAAAATCTTGAGAAGTTTCTAATTGAAAACACTTTGTAAAGATACGAAAGATGAAGGATCGTAGTTTATTTAAATTTGAGGAGAAATAACTGAGTAATAATGGAACTGTATGGAACTAATACCGCACATACCTGGATCTTGAATTTAGATGTTGATGTTGCAATGCAGTTGTAGTTGTTGTTCCTCCAACAATAACATTACTGTATTGTGAATTGTAATTTACATAATTTGAGGCGGAGGACGATGATTTACTTATGGAATTTGTTGAGGATACTGGTGAAGATCCGTTATTAATTGAAGATGGCACTAATGTTTCATGAGGCATGAGCCCAAACGAATTAAATGCAGGCTCAGTTGTTACTGATGCTGGTGATACTGTTGATGCCACTTGATCAAAGTATGCAGAATTTCCACTTGTATTTGAATTTGAATTATTTGTTGTAGTCGTTGAATTAGGTGATTGTTGACTATAACTTCCGATGCCCCTAAAAGTATGTCTTTGATAAATAATGTTAAACATATTAATTTTAATAAAATATTTTACCTTGTTCTACTACTTTGCTGTTGTTGATTTACAATCGCTATATGTTGATTTGTTTGCTGATAATTTTCAGGTCTTTGTCTGTGAGTTGTTTGGATATTATTGTAATGTGCTGGTTTTGGATTAGGAGTATGGAGAAATGGTGAAAATACTGTTTCATATGCAATATTTGGAGGTGCTGATGATGGAGGAGCAGACGGTAGAAAGTTGGAAGCGCTGAAGCCTGATTGAAGTAGCAATTGAGATGTTGCAGGATGAACCGCAAAATCTGCTCTTTGAACTGTTGATCCAGACGAATTAACACCACTGGGAGAACTTACACAAATTCCTCCAATTGTTGCATTATGAGCTGATGCAGCAGCAATAGTTGCTAAATGATGATGAAAATCTCCATTTGTCGGTGTCGTAGACGATGGTTGAACAGTTGCTAGTCTATTATAAGTGTATGACCATGGGCCCACAGGATCCATTGTTTTTTTCTGAAATCGGTCAACATTTATTAAATTAAGAATTGAGTTATTGTTTTAAATTATTTCCAAAAGCATTATCAGATTAATAAAGTTCTTCGAATCATTTTAAACTTATTAAAAATGAACACAATTTTTTTGTTTGCAATTTTTTTTAAATAGAGAAATTCTTTAACAAACATAATTTTCTTTCCAACTAATATTTATGTTTTCGCACATAATTTCATAATCACGACTTACATTAATAATTATGGAATCTTTCTGCAGAATTTACTTTTTACGACTTCAAAACAATCATAAATGAATATGAATTCTAAGATTGTAATTTTCGCGGGTTATTTCATCTTTTTGATTCAATACAATGAGATTTTTAACAAGAAAACGTACTTTTTGAGGACAGTTTCTCTATCACTTTTTATATATATCAAGCCTGTTGTATTTTTTTTGAGATTCAAACATGAATTTTCTAATTTTGTAACAATCAAAATTTAAAATTTTGAGTCTTTAATTTTGCTCTCGGGCGTCACTTTTCTATCTGATTCTATCGATTGCTGCAACTTTTATTTGTCACGTATCAGAAAGAACATAATAAGCATGGTGTTCAATTAATATAAAAGGACTTTTTTAATATTTTAACTTCACTAAAATAAAATTAAAGTTTTACCAAAGGCAATCGTAAAGTTTTTTCGGAATTCAATGTGAGAACGCCATTTTGGTTATTTTTGTATATTTGCCTAACGAGCATAGAATAACATAGAGTGGAAAATTACCTATGAGTAAAAATAAAAATCTTCGAATTATTTTTAATGCGATGAATGTTGAACAGAAAATGTAGTATATTTTCAAATCATAGCAGAAATAAAAGAAAATTTCTTCTTAATTTATTGTTTAATCCAGATATTTCCAAACAAAATCATAACTTTTTTTTCTGCCGGATACTTGAAAGCTGTCAGTCGAAAAGTGTCATTAATGTTATTTTTTTTCTTTTCGAACGATATTCTATTATCAGCGCAATCCAGAAACAAATAAAAATTGATTTAACTTTTCACTAATAGATAGCGCTACGCTCATTAAGAAGACGAAGAAGAAAAAAATATGTAAAAGTAAACTTGGAAAGAGAACGCTACCTAGGTACTTACAAGCAAAAACTCTATATTATGATAAATAGATGTTATTTGAAAAATGAAATTGAATAATATAACTAAACAAGAGTAAGCTTATTTGACTATTTATTTAAGGATGGTTATTTTCTGACCACACCGTTATCCCGAGCGGCACCCACTCGCCGTGCCGGAGGCATACGGCTGCACTGTGGCGATTTTACATTGGTACTCCCTTTGGCTTTTTCTTCAGAAATTGCCTTTTGTGCCGCTCGGGTATACATCTCTGTATAAAATAAAAATGAAAAAAAATGAAAATCTATCATTTTTAACTGTAAACAAACTTTATTAATCTCCTTTTCTTTTTTTGAATTTCATATGCTTAGATTATGAATGAAACATTTCAAACGCATGTAGTAAACTTTTAAGAAAACAAGATGAAAAATTTTTCCGAAAAATATTTTCATAATTATAAGTATTCTAAAGAACATAATCGAAAACTTAATCAACAATTTTTTAAATTTTCTAATGTTTAATAGTTTCGCGTTTAGATGGAAGAAAATTTTTCAACCCAGTTAATTTGCGAAAGTACTAGACATACATTCAATGTAAATATGAATTTTTTGTTTGAAATTTCATTCCGAATAAAAATTCAATCAACTCGAACTTGCATCATGAGAAATTTTAAAAATTTTGCTAGAATTTGTATTATTAGTATATATGTTTGATCTCTATTGATTCAACATTAATATTTTTGAGAAATAAAGGGTTATAAATATTTCAAATCCAACAATTTAGTACACTAAAAAAAATTTGATCAAAATCGACTTTTTGATCAAGAATTCATTTGAAATTCATTTCGGTCAAAATATGCACAAGCTTAAACATAGTTCTTGATCGACATATATCATTCCAACGATTACCGATATTTTTTATAATTCAATATTAACATTTTCCTTAATGATACTTTAAAGTTCTAATGAAGGCTATAGAGACTAGAATATATTTAAAACTCGATAAGTTTCTAATAATATACGTACTTAGTAAGATGATTTTCAATTAAAAATTAGAAAACAGTTTCAGATGGGATTTTTTTATATTAAATGTGTAAGTAAAGAGACGGTTTGAAATATTTATTTTATGTTTGGTTTCACTAGTGGAGTAATAATGATTAAGAATTCATTTAGAAAGATTATATTTTCCCTCATATTTCTTCAAATTTGTTTTAACATAAGTATGCGTGTATCTTTTGGATAAAAGCAAAATGTTTATATATGTATCTATATATTTAAATTTCTTATAAGTATTGTTTATCTTTTTCCCGTATTCAAATGCTTTCGTTCGACAAAGCATGCTAAATTTTGGTATCCAGAGATTGAATCTATTTAAAGGGATATTAGAAATGTCATTCTAAATAAGTCTTATAATATGGACATTATGTTTTATCCTAAGATTTTTCGATAGCAAATATTAAACTGCTGTTTCGGTGTGACTATGAGATGATAAACGTTCCACGTCAATTTGTGGTACAGATAATTCGTCGGGAATATTATCAGCATATTCAATAGAAGAAGCTTGTGAAAGGCGTTTGCTCAAAGATGTTTGTTTGCGTAAAACTTCTGCCAAAGACGTTGTATTATGTTCACCATAACGTGCATCAAGTCCCTGTCGAAAAGCATTAACTACACGGATCTGCTTTGATTTTTATCAACCGATTCACCAGTTTCGGTTCCCAAGACGATAAAGCAATCATATTATGAAATTAAAATTATTAGAAAAGAAAAAAAGAGATGAAGAAAAGTAATTTAATATTTCATTTTGTGTTATGTTTAAGTTGGAATACATAGAATATAATTAAACACCAAATTTTGCCTTACTCGTAAAGAAATTAATAATGTTTATCATGATACACTTTTTAGACGTGTACTGTAATAAATATCTAAGTTGGTATACTTTACGAATATGGTTTGAGGACTCAAATGTGAAAAAAACATGCAATTTCTTATAATGTTAAACAACTTTTTTTTCCTCAAAGTGCTCGTTAATTAATTTTTAATAAACAATATATTTTTTAAACAAAATTAAAAAAAAACCAAAACCATGTTAATGATAATAATAAAAATATTTTTAATTGTTATAGTGTAAGTAGTGTGTAATCACCAGTCAACTAATCATGAGCCAAACTTACTTGTGTACATAAATTCTATTCAATACTTATTTTTAAATAGATATCAAAATCGTAATTAAAGCAAATATATGTGAATAAAACTATTTAAATAATAAAAGCGATTATTTGAGGTATATTGTTCTCTTGGTAAGAACACTGAATAAATTGTCTCTTGTCAAGAGTAGCAGAAAATTTTTAAATATATATTTAGATTAACTAGGTACATATCATTTTATATTTAATATCTTCAAGATTATTGGTTTGATGAAACGGAAAAGTGACAAGAAATGAAATTCTATGATAAGTATGTGGATATGCATGGTTCAAAAAAAACTAAATTTTTTTCTTGTGGATCTCATTCAATAATCTTTGACTAAGATCATAATAATTATTAGATTGTGATCAATTAAGATTTGCTATCTAGTCGAAATTTAAAAATAAAATTCAACATAAGAAATATTAACCCTATAACTAAAAATGTAGACAAGTCCTAAATTTTCTTTAGCAGTTATCTGTTAATTTTTATTTCATTTCATGCGAATAAGATTTCATAAAATAGCTCCAAGTTAGTTTTCTTTTTTTTTCATTCTCCCTTAGTATAATTACATTTTGTAACAACCATGAAAATATGTTTCTCTATTAAGGTATAAAATTCAATGTAAAATAGAATTTTCATTGTTTATAACGTTATTCTTATTAAAACAGGTAATACGATTCTCAAGTATCAGAAATATATGTAATTTCAACTGAACTTCATGTTGCCCACGATTATTCAGATACTCTACATCTCAAATTCAACTCTACCTTCAAACTTAAAAATGATTTTGATTTAAGCGAATTAAATAAATATTCTTAGATAAATCCACAAATTTGCTATAAGACTTGTTGAAAAATATGTTTCACTTTATGCATGGTTCGCCAGAGATTAAGCAAACATGGGAATACTGCTGAAAAATCGTGGAAAAGTGTTACATATATCTATTTGTTAAAAAGAGACATAGTCATCGAAAATTTTTAAAACAAATTTAATTTTTTTTTCAATTGTTAAAAACTCTCATAATTAATACAAATGCAGGCAATAAAATAATTGTTCAGATATCTGTGGGTGAGCGTTATTTTTGACTTTGGTGAGTCACAAAATGAAAAGAGCTAGAAAAAATGTTTTTCAAACTACATAATGATCTTCAACTAAATGAATTTAAGTTAGCTGATTTACATTTTTAATTTAATTATTTAAATTTTTGTAAATTTGAAGGAATAAAAAATATTTAATATCGCGTTGGTCCACGTTTAAACAATTTTTAGTTCCAAGCATCTTTCACTAGCTTCATAGCTTCATCCTTTTGCTTAAGGTTGCGCTCTTCTATTTTTTGTCGAGAATACGCCACAAGTATTTTATAGGATTTAGATCTGATCTTTGGACTTGCCTCTCGAAGATTTCAGCTAGAGAATTTTCAAAAAAAAATGTAAGCTTTCTTTGAAGTGTGGTTGAAATCATTGTGCTGTTGAGAGCCCTTCAATTGAAGATCATTTTGTAGCTTTTTCCTTTTTAATTTTATGAGCCATCAAAGTCAAAAATACGTTCGTTCGTAGGTGTATGAACAATTGTTTTGATCGCTGCAAGATCAGCTATTAGGGTATCAAATATTGACACCACTGTTATTCACAGTAAATATATAGTAATAAAAAATTGAGGAGATTGTTTGTCGAATGAGTTCTAGTTTTTTTTCATAATTATTCCAAAAATAGTTATTTAGCCATTGTGGAAAATCCGCCTTTTCTTTTTGTTTTAAATAGCCTCACTGACTTAAGTCCATTGAAATCGGCTGTACATTTCGTACATTCCAGATTTAAACCCAGACTCGATCATGAAGTTATAGATATTTTAAGTTGTCGAAGGTATAGATATTTCAGCCTTTTAAGAAAAAGAAGGGCAATGACTAAAAGTAATCCTACCGCTATAAATACATAAGTTGAATATAAAAAATCAAGAAGTTTAGGTCATAACCCGAAGCAATTCACGTAAATAATATCAAATGAATTTTCTCTTTTAATAATTGATAGCGAAAATAACGTGTCGATATTGAGGATGATGATGAAAATAGTGCTTGTATTTGTTTTTTTTTTAAATTAACTGCTGTAAATTGTGTAGTCTCAAATCCAAAGAATTGCCAATTATTTTCTTATTTATGAATGAAAAAATCTTTAAATGGTGATCTGTTTAACTTCTGTTATCTGAATTTTAGTATTATTAGAGTTTTCTTTAACTTTCTATTGTATGTAAACATGTACATAAGTATAGGATAATTTTAAGTTCGTTTTAGTTGAAATCTTTGGTTCCATTAAATTTCAAGTTAGGTTTTCATGAAATTTGAAAGTGGGCATAATTTTTAATTTATAATTTATAATAATTTCAAATTTCAAACTTCGTCAGATGTCATATGTGAGCGGTAATGAATCTACTTGAGCGAGGATTTCAATTAAAAAGAATCTGAAAAATTACCCAAAGCGATCAATTGAGGACGTTGTTAAATGGCATATTCAAAATAAAAAATTGCAGGTAGAAGCAAAAAGACTCAGTCAAATTAAACAATGACATAAAATAAATGAAATCACACAGTTAAAGCAGCTTACAGCCTGATCAGTAGAACTCTTGCTGTATGGTACTGGTATCAATCGCTCTTGTAATTCCCCGCCTATCACCTATAGTTATCTCATTCAATATGTGTAATGATGAAGTCGATGGGAATAGTGGTGGGAAATAAATCATAGGGAAATATATCCAGGACCACGAAGTATTTAAAAGTGCGTGAAAAAGAGAGGGAAAGAGAGAAAGAGAGAAATTGTTAAATAATGTTGACTAATAATATGGTTTGAATATTTAAATCATAAAATAAAAGATATGTATAAGATTATAAATAAAGATTATTAATGATTATGTATCGCGTGAAATTTTTAAAATTTATTTTATGATCAAGAGGCATATTTGTTGCTCCTTGTGTTCATAATTTAAGAACGTGCAACAGTTTCAAATATTGAAGGAAAATATTTACTGTTATTTTTGTAATATTCAATGATGTACATATACTGAAAATCCGTATTAAAAGAGCTTAATTTGAAGACGTTAATCCTATTTAAAATGATTTAATATGACCTCTATGTAGATTCAAGTAAATAAAAGATCTGTTTAATCATATCAAAAATATTATTAGTTATATAAAAATTAACATCAAACAATTTTATTTTACGTTATTCACTTGACAGAAAATATTAAAATTTATTCTTTGATGAGTTGATGGATGTTGCAAGATATGTTTCACAAAAATCTGTTACAAAAACCATGCTTTATATATTTTATATGATTTTTTTAAAGATTTTTAGTAAAATATCAATGAAAAGAAGTCTCAGATTTTAAATTACATGAATTGTCCTGATTAAGAAAAGTTTTTAAAAATAAATAAAAACACATAAACTGTTGTTTTATTCTTCTATGAAAAATATTAACTTTAATCTTAAGAAAAAATAACTTCAAGCAACAAAAAACAATTATAAAATACATTGAATAGTCTGTATTAGATGTAAAAGTTAAACCTTCTTTAAAGCTTGTTAAAATAAAAAAAGCTCAATATGAATATAGTTCTTACTCAGTTAGGTATTGTCACACAACCTCGACAAGAAAATGAAAAAAATGAGGAAACAACAACATTGATCTTATGAAAAATATTGCATTGATTCTTCATGAATCGAGTTGTATTTAAATGGATTAAAGCTTTCTCGCTATATCCGCTCAACAATGGGAAATAGATTTCAATAGCAATTTCTGTGTTTTTCCATTTGAAAGAAATAACGCTAATAAATCTTTAATTATAATGGTTGACAACACATGATGCTAAAAATAACTTCGCTGATATATGAGCAAAAACTGAAGTGTTTGTGTATACATCATAAAAAAGCTGATATGTGAAATAATTCAAAAGTTTGTTTATCGCTATCTTGCCTTCTAATATTATATTATGAAATAGGCCTTTCTTAGATTAAAATATAAAAGAAGAATACTATAAAACTACATATAAATTTAATTATTAGTGGTTACTTTTAAGTATTTCTTTTTGTAAATAATTTATATTTTTCGGTTTTATTACACAGATGTCATTAATTTGATATTTTAAATAATAAAAAGCTGAATTCATAAATCATTTTGAAATTAAAAATAAAATGAAATGAAGGATAAAAATAAATATAGAAGGATTATTTCTTGAAACAATTTCTTATTTCTAATATGTGATTGAAAATATAAATTCGAATGTTCTTTTATATATTTTCTAGATTAGCAATAGGTAGATCAAGAAAAAAAAATATAAATGCTTTATATGATTATTAAAAACATTAAGAAGGAATGCATTATATATTACAGAATAATACACTGTATGCAATTAAAAATATGTCAAATTATATGGATAAAATCATTAATATTTTATATTTTTGCTTCCTTAGAAATTTCATAAGTTCTTTCTTCAAGAGAAGCATCGTCATCGTCCATATAACGGGCATCAATGTTATTTATGTTCAATGGTTCAGATTGAAAAGAGGTAGGTACTTTGATGCTGATAGAAGTTGGTTGATTAGTTGATTGTTGATTCGATTTAAAAAAGTTTTTACGTTGGTTCATAAGTGAAGTAAACGCACCGGTATGTGGAAATCCAACTTGATTATTTCGTAAACTTCGCAAACTGTGTAATGAACGTCTGTCTTCCAAATCTTGAATGTCTTCCAAAGTTGACTTGAATGCGCGAATAACACGTAGCTGTAACATAAAATGTTTGGGGGATTGCGATTTTTGTATACATAGTTGCTTTTTTTTGTGTTCTCTTACGAATGAGTAAAAAATAGATTGATTTCATTTAGGATTTTTATGAAAGTATGTTTTTCAGAACGACGACTTGCAAATTGCAATATCTTGAAAGACTTTTAAAATTTCTTTGTAAGAAAGAGTTTCATTCAGATATAATGTTTTGTAAGAACAAATAATAAAAATAGGAGCTCACAAAAATTGTTATAATGCTTTTTACGAGACTTTGAATAACATTGAAGAAAACGTTAGAGGGAAATGATGTGTGGGTTAGGCAGAATTTCAAAAATATCTCGAAAAAAAAATAAAATTTGGAAAAGTGTATTCAATTTATATAATCTTCAATTCAAGTGAGCTGCTTTATTCATTATTAATGAATATGTAAGCTATAAACACAAAAAGAAGCAAAATTATATTTGAGATTACAACGTGTTAAAGAACAAAGCAAAATTTTATAAATTATATTAATTAAATATAAATCTACTGAAATCGTGCAGGCACAGAATTAATTGTGCATTAAATTAGATGTGTTTTCGTTGCATTATTTTTAATTTGTTTTTCCTAAATTTTTAACGGATTCAACTTGACTAATGAATAAAAGATGAGAAGAAAAATACATAAAGGTATATTTCTAATCAGAATTTTATCTTTTCTGGAAACGATGAAAATACTCGTAGCAAAATCTCTGATATGAAATGATTGATTTGAATTTCAAAATTATGAATTTAAATAGGTTATAGAATTTATTTCGCATACTTAAAGCGCGTTTGAATATTTCGAGCAGCGCAACTGCTCGTTTAAAATGTCTAAAGTTCTTAACTTTGAAAATTCTAATCTAAATTTCATAGTGTTATTACAACACCTAGAAAATATATTGGATAAAAGTCAGACCAAATTCATTGAAACTTCACTTCATATCAGGGACATAGCAGATTAAATCTTAAAGTGGTTTTCCCTTAAAAGTTTGGTTTTAACTTATCTTTTATTTTTACCCACAAAGCATTAAATTTTCTGAACTGCTTTGTAATTAACTTAAATGACTTTGATATTAGAGACAAACACAATCTTTTTCGATGTTCTATTTTTTGAAGTTTTCAAATTGATTCAAGCAAATATCTCAAAAAATAAACCAAATTGGAAATTTCAACATTTCAATATGTCTTCCATATCTGACTCAATTTTAAATCGAAATGTATTGTTAGCAGATTACTTGTAATCTTTTAACTTTCATAATATTCTTCAATAAATATTAGTATAAGAATATCGGAAATCTAGACAAACATAATTTACAGTCTACAGCATATTTTCTCCTATGAATTTCACTAAATTGAATTCAAAGGCCTTGCAATTTAAAATTCAAACAATTTATATATTTTCATTTAAAATGATGATGTGAAATATCGATGAAGTCTTGCTATGAATATTTTCGTCGAATCACTTTTGATTCAATAATGTTTTTGATTACAAATGTAATGTTTTCAGTCAGTTTTATACTTTCATTAGATAGATAATAAGTAAGATTGAGAAACTCTCAAATAGTTCCAAAGCTTTATATCTTGCTGATAAAATGAGAAGATTGCTTTTAAATATGCTCCGATCATTGTGTTTCATTTTCTATTTTTCTCTTTTAAAAATTAATTAATGGTTTTTTAAGATTTGCAGTGAGTATTGTCATGTTTAAATAAGTTGGCTAAGTTATACATAATATGTGTACGTATATATAACTTAGCCACCTTATTTAACATAACAATAAAAAAACATGCTAAAATAGTTTGAAATTTATTTCATCAAGATATTTAGTATAAAATTATTTGTGTGAACCTTGCTTCGTTTTGAAAATTTAACGTTATTCTGTATAATCAAATTTTTTTGCTAAAGATACGAGATATGATAAAAATTTAAGAAGTAATCTACAAATTGTAGAGAAATGAATTTGTTAGCAGTTTAAATTTGGATTTCATACAAACTAAATTTGTCGTAAGATCTTCTAAATTTTGTGATTTTTTGATAATATATTCAAATGAAAATTAAAAGAAATTAAATTAAAATTAAAAATTCAATTAGATATAAAGAAAATATTCTGTGCTGCAAGAGGGAACATTACAAAAAAAAATAATTCCAGCAAATATTTTACAAAAATCATCCCCACAGAGATTGATTAAGGGATCGTTCTGTTTAAATATTTAATCTCAAAAGTGTGAAACATGTGGTAAAATTATAAACAAAAAAATTGTATCCTTGCAAGAGTCGTAAAAATTGAAATGAATCAAATAAGTTACAAAAAAGTTCAGATTATGCCATTTGAGTTTTATTTTCCTAAAGGGTGTGAATACGTATTTTAAAACTTGATATTTGAATTGTAAGGTAAAACTTAAACCCTTCAACACGTATGAGGATAAGTCTAATATTGAATGTTTTGTATCCATACGATTAGGTTTCTACAGCAAGCAGGAGTTGAATGACTACTAAATAAGAATATGTTTTTATAAGATATTCTTTTTTTCTCGTTATAAGAAAACAGGTAGTTATTATATATTTTAAAAAGCAGATTAGGGTAGTTGGCTAGCAGTGATAATTTTTTTTTTTTTCAGGATGTATTCGTTCAAAATTTATATGAAAATTTGATGTGCTCAAAGAGATCATTTCAATCACAAATAAAGCTACATTTTATGGAAATCGATTTTGGCAGAATGAAGCATCAATGAAAGGGTCAAAATAACAGTCGTATCTTTAAAAAAATAAACCGTTAAGAATATTCCGTATAACTATTCAAGCACTTATTCAGTAAGTATGATGTTTATAGTGATATTAAATTATCCAGTATAATAAAAACTCAATTCTATACAATATTCTACCTGTTTCTTTTAACAAGAACATTCAATATAAGAAAAATAATTCCTTACGTACTTGCAAGTATAAGAAGAATCCAAAAATATATACGTTTGTTATTCAATTGCTATTTTTTTTAAAAAAATAGGTTCAAATAATTATTTCTATTATTAAGAAACAAAAAAAGCTGCATTGTACTTAAAGATCGGGTATGTTGAAATAATCTGGTTGATTTGATAAATTTTTATGCAATATCTTAAACTTCTGTTTCTTTCATAGGCTCTGGCTGCTAGCAAAGAGGGAAGAGAAATTTAGCCACCATTAGCATATTACAATGACTTTAAATGGATTGAGTTATAAGAAACAAGTTTGTTTTATAATTTATCCATTTAAATAGATATTCCAATGCTTGAAACATACAAACTCTTCAACTGACTTTCTACAAGAATTAAATAATCATTTAACAGTTTCAAGATTACGGAAGAGTTTTTTCCATACATTAGAGAAGAATAAAAAAAATCTTTAATTAAAAGGTTTAAATACTTTATGTTGAAGATCCAATAGATTTAAATAATTATAAAAAATTACACTTTCCTTAAGTTTTCTATTTTAATTATAAAAGCAAAACGTATGCAAAAAAATATTAGACAAAATTGGATTCTTCAACCAAACGGAAGTAATTGAATTTTTAAGTTCTTGTATCAAATGCGAATGCTTTGTTGAAATTTGTTTTTGAAAATGATAGATACTTTAAATACGGTATTCGAGCTATTTCGATCAAGGTTCACTCCATGAAGAATTGTAAAGCACATTAATAATTAATATCCGTTCTCAAATAATTTTTCTTTTGCTAAATCTGGGAAGCATGAATAGCTCATGTATGTATATATGTATATATATAAATATATATAATTTTGGAAGCATAAATGGTTCATGTATACACATATATACATATATACATAAATATATATAAT